CAAGTCATTTTGAATTTTGATCCTGTCCTATGGGGTATTAGCTACTCCCCCTAATTTGCTGTTATCTGCAAATTTGATAACTATGCATGGGAACTGTATTTTATTGTGGCACCAGAGCTCTCTGACAGAGAAGGCACAACGTCTCAGAAAAAACTACAATTCCAATGATTCCCTAGCATTGAGCCAGGACAGTTAAAGTGGTCTCAAGATGGATTATTTCTGCCATTCTGTAAAGGCCCTAAGGGCAGATGGAAAGGATGACCTTCTGTGTATACAGATGGTCCTCATTTGTTCTGTATGAAAGGGATGAAAAAAGAGGGAATGCAAGAAGATGAGAATGTAACTGAAGAAGAAAGAGAAAATAAGAGAAGAGTTTTGCTACAGTGGATGAAAGATGGCTTTTGAAAAATTGTGCAGCTGTTCCCTTCTCTCCAAAGCTCAAGATAGGGGTGGTGGTGGGAGAGAGGAGTAAAATCATTATGCAATTTGTGGTAATAAAATTGTAAGTGTAGTAATGTAAATTTAAATATGAATTTAAAATTAACATTATTGTTATAAACTCCTTTTCAATGTAAATGTAATTGAATTAGGTTTTTCAGCATATTAATGATTAATTCAACATTTTTACTTTCTCCCACTAACTTTTCCATCTCTGAAAAAAGCCGATCTGCCTGTGGTGATACTGCTTGGGTGGGCTGGATGCAAGGACAGGTATCTGGAGAAATATAGCACCATCTATCTTCAGAAGGTGAGTAGTGTCCATTCAGATTTTTGGCTTTGCCACAGATTTTCCTCAGTATACCTGAGTGCAAGTATCATACTTTACCCACCAAGAATAGTATTTGGTAATATTTATATTTGGTATCTCTGACATACTTTAATATTTCTGAGGAAGAACCTAATCCTAAAGAGGCAGAAATTGGAAACATCTTTCTTAATGGATATTATGTTATGAAAAATCTAGGATAAATTAATGTATAGCAAGGTCTTGTCTTGCAGTGCTTAGTCAACCACTTTCCTTGCACTTTGGAAATCCTTATACACAACTGCCACATTCCAGTTGTTTAATTTTTGTTTCTTGGAAAAGGAAACATGAATAAAATTGTTTAAAGCTCTTCCTGGGTTATTCAAACTAAAAAAGTTTACACCCCTATATGTATTGACAGTGCAGTGTATTGAATTCCAATTTGCAGCTTGAGTGAAATGATTTCAAGTAAAATTCTTTTTTTGTATGTTGATAGTAATATCTTCAAAGATATTATCCTTCCTCTGAATGTTTACTTTCATTTGCAATATCCTAATTGAAAAATTTGATTTTGGTAGCGGCTCAGTCTTAAAACTTTTAAGGAACTAAATTTGATGTGGCTCAGTATTCTCAAAATGCATTCTAAGAGATGTGTAAGGACTCATAGAACTTTGTGGGAGATTTGTACCCAATTTGCCTTCAGAGATTGTGAAAATCGAATGTAGCATTAAAGTTCTGTTTGGTCTTTGGTCAATTTACCCAAAGGTGTTATGTTTAGAGAGAAGATTCTAGAATTCTGGAATCCCCATGTTGAATCAGGGTATTATGGGCGGATGCAGACTGGCACTTTAGGCCGGCCTGGGGGTGGAGTTGGGGTGGAGTGATTGCATACCGGCTGCCGCGACTCTGCCTGAAGGCCACGCGCCCATCTGCACAGTGCACAGCGTCAGGCTGCTCTTTTGGCATAGTGTGCGCATGTGCTGTGCCAAAGAGGCACAAGAGAGCCATGACGGTGGCTATAAGGGCGACTTTTTGCCGCTCCCCAAAAGCAGCATTTGCCCACTCTTTTGTGGGTGGTAAAAAGGAGGATTGGGGCCATGGCCCCGATACACAGCTCCCAGGGGCGGCCCAGAGCCGCCCCTAATGGGCCGTCTGCATCAGCCCTATGTCTCTCATCCTGTTATGACAGATGGATGTACAGCCACTTTGGCTTTAATTGCAAAAGATTTATGCAGTTTCCTTCCCACTATCTTGCCCAAGCACCTGATTGGCAGTTGTATAAAAGATTCACCATGCATGGCAACTGATGGATCTTGTTACCAATAAGTAAGTCATCAGCTGAAGCAAAACCATTTCATACCCAGCTCTGTAATTCATGTGAAGAACAGTTGCTAGCATTTACAGTCGGACCTCCGTATTCTTTATGGGCTGTCATTGCTCAAGCTTCTGAGTGAAGAAAAGTTGAGTTCTGTGACCTATATAAATGCATATAGATTTACATGTATTTGCTTGATTTGTATACTGTTTCTGTAGATTCTGAATGGCACATGCGTAGCTATGCCGAGCACTGAAATTGCCCTTTCAAATGAAATTTTATTTAGCTTTCTGTCTGATCACTGTGATTTTAACAGGCATGGCTCTTGAGTTTACTTGTGCCTCACAATCTTTGTTCTGTATATGCAAAGCTACAGTGTTATGTACACCTCTGCCTAGATTTCCATGAGAGGATCATTC